GCTCTAGTGAACTTTGTCTATGAGTTAGCAGAGAAAGAGGCTTGTCAGTGTTTGCCAGCTCACAGCCCTTGTGACAGTAAGGTTTTTTTGCCTGGGTAATTTCGCTTTCAGTATATTTTGATATAAAATGGCTTTTTAATTGTGGCCTTTCTGAACTGTCAGCATACAAGGCAGTCGTCAGCCACAGGTCCCTGCTGTTAGCATGCATGCAGCAGCCTTTGACAAGGGACACATGAGTGTTGTGGGCAGGAGTCAGTTACAAAAGTGGCCTAAAGCCATGCCGGACTTCAGAGGGAATAAGCCCAAATGAGTGTCTGTGATGAGAGGAGCAGGCATTTTCCTGCAAGAGAGCAGCATTTACTTCGGACTCAGTTTCTGATAAGTGCCCTGTGACTCTTTGCTCTTCACTGGCGTCTCGGCTCCGCAGGGTTCAGTGCCAAGACCTCGGGCTTCTGGCAGAGCAGGGCAGCTGCAGGAGCCAGTGCCACCACAATGACACCATGTACATTTGTTGGGAAGTTCACAACAGTACCTGTGATGCTTCGGCCTTGTCTGGCTGCAGCAATTCTTTCTCCTTTGCTGTAAGCCAACCTTGTCTTGCTCTCCAAACTCATGGCTTAAGTGCAGTTAGAGTGAACATGGTGGTGGGAGGTCTTGTTAAATGGGAGTTGTGCAGTTGTCTCTTGCCACAAAGATGTGCCATTATTTGTGTCTCACTAACAAACAGCAGAGTGCAGCCCAGCTTGTGTACAGGAGCTGCACGCAAGCTAGGACAAGGCTTGGTTTGATGATGTTGGTTTCTTTTTCCATTTCCTTGGCATGTTCCCAACTGCTATGCTGTTTCTCTCTCTCTGGGTTGAGAGGAAGTGAAGGGTTTGCAGTCCAGGGACATTGCTGCAGAAGGATGGGGGACTTGGTCTGTCTTGTTGCTGTGCTTCAGTCATTATCCTACAGCTGTGTTGCATCCCTGCCTGCATCAGGATCAGTCTTGGCTTCTCATCACCCTTTTCTCAGATCCTCTGTGCAGTCGCTTCAGGTTCAGAAGGAAACTTTCTTGCAGTAGTTAGTCAACCACCTAGGTGGGTGCATTTTAATTCTGCAGGAAGTTAGAGAGTTTCCGTGCAGACACCCAGTTTCCTATGTGACAAGAAAAATACAGTTACAGTCATCATCTCCCCAGAAGGAGAGATGAAATAGAAGGTTTGGATAAAGGCAGCCCAGCTTGAAATTGCCCCTTATGGCATATGTCTGCTAATGCAGAGTGTGCCTCCTGTCTTGGCTACCCAAAAGGTGTCTTAGAGATCGGAGGCCCTTGAGTATGAGAGGAATCTGGTGGGTTTGTGATAGGTTTGAGTTGGTGAGGTATAGTATCTGAGCGGTGGCTGAGGTGAGGACCCAGGGCCCCTGAAGTCTTTCTGTACAGTGCTGGAAACGTTCCCTGAGCCAGGGCTGAGCAGCTTCTCTTGGTCTGTGATTTCAGGTGGCACTTCAGTGGTGCCAAAGACAAGAGACCCCAGGAGCCTCTGTCCTCAATGCACTGCAAGCCTTGCTAGTGGTGAAATGAACAGTGACCAACACAAGGTGATGGGCTTGAGGGTTGCACCATGCTCCAGGGAAGTCCTTGGCTCTTCCTTATAGCACCGCAGGTTCTGAGGAGCCCCTGCCTTCTTGGGCAGCCTGGCAGGACCAACCTGTTCCTGACTCCTCACGCAGCCCTGTGTGTGCAGGAAGCATGTTAGTCTTTAATCCTGTAATTGAGAGTTTCAGTAGCAACTTGTCTGTAAAGATCAAAAGCAAAGGTACAGGCTTCTTCCTGCCTGGTTCCAGACCTGGTTGGGAAGTTTCAGCTTCCCTGCACATAGGTGCCTCCTCCTCTATACAAGCACCTCTTGCGGCCTGGCAGAGGAGCTGTAGGGCTGCCTGCCCCCAGAAGGCCCCACAGGAGGAGGGCAGTATCCTGGCTTGGCTGAGTGTGGTTAGTAACCTTACCAGGACACAGATGATCACAATACTCATGCCTTCATGAGGGTGTTCCCCGCTGGTTGCCAAGGCACACACGGTCCCTGGAGAGGGCTGTATTTCTTGTGGTAAAAGGGCAGCTGAAGCAGATGATGTGACTGGAGAAAGCCTTGGTGGCCATTTAGCATGTTACCAAGCAAGCTGCAGCGTGTGGAGGGCTGCTCCCATTGTGCAGGGAACAAAGCTGAGCTATTCACTGGCCTGAGACAGGCACTGGGCCTGGAAGAAATGCCATCGAGGTTTAGAGTCATTTCTGTGCAGCCCTTGGAGCCCTGGCCGAGTGCTGACAGATACTATGTGAAAATGAGAGGTGGTAGGGCTGCCTTCCTCTGTGGTTTGCAGCCCCAGTTCCTCCAAACTGTGGCCACATGCAGATCTGCAGTGTTTCCTAGAAATAAAAGGAGATACTTTTCCTCTCGTTCTGTACCATCTGTGCATGCAAGTGAGGTCCCCAGCCTTGGAGAAGGCCTTCACAGGGTGGCTCCCTTCCCAACTGGTTGCTGTAAAGGCCAGGCTGGCCTGCTGGATCTGCTTCTCCTGCACACAGCTCTCAGCACCCTCTTCCAGAGTCCTGTGTTGCCTTTTTAGCTCATCTCTTCCTATCAGTGAGTGAAATGAAGCCAGCATACAGCCTTTGGTCAAGACTACCCATTGACCTCCACAGCCAGAGAGGTGAGACATGCCCTTAGCCCACCCTGACAGCCAGCCCTTGCTCTGGACAGAGCTGGAAGGGGCTGGTGTTGGTTTGTGTGCAGCTGGAGGGAGCAGCTCAAAACCCACAGCAAAATAGGCCATCTGTCACTGCTGTGCAGATCTGCTTGGCTCCACCACACTCAGCATTTCACCTCGCCCTGTGTGCTTCTGCTTCCAGAGAGTATCTGTCTGCACCCCAGATAAATGTGGATTCTCACTGGGTTCTAGCATGTCCTCTGCCTCTGCACCCTCCTTCCAGCCGCCAGCAGTGGGCAAGTCATAGAATCACAGAGTCACAGACTGGTTTAGGCAGGGACACCTTCCATTAGACCAGGTTGCGCCAAGCCCCGGCCAACCTGGCCTTGAACACTGCCAAAGATGGGGCAGCCACAGCTTCTTTGGGCAACCTGTGTCAGTGTCTATCTAAAGTATAAAGGCTGGATGAAGAGAGAGGCAGGTCAGGGGCCTGTTGCTGCCCTAGGCAGGGTGATGGTAAGAGAGCGGGCTGCTGCTCTTCTGGTTGTCCTGTGCTGTGGTTTTATAGGGGTGTGTGAGAAGCATTTTCCCCAAGCAGCTGCTGGTGTTTCTGAAGCAGCTCCTTGCTCTGGATGAATAATGGGTTGGCTGCACACACACCATGCAGCTGCAGCTCAAAAGAGCAGTGTGAATGGCTGTGGGAGCTCCTCTGGAAGCTGTCCCTAGAGTGGCTCTGCTCAGTCTGCAGGCTACCCCTCATGTGCTGGCATTCAGCTCTCGTACAGAGGTGCTTGGCTCTCATAACTGTCCCCCATCCAGAGGCTGGGCAACATGTCAGTGAATCACCTCCTGCCCTCCCTACCTCTGTCACCAACACAGAGTGACTGTTTGACCACTGCGTCCCTGAGGGGGATGCAGTGTCTGGTCCATGTCTGCATAAAGCTAGGATGGATATTCTTGGTGTGTAAGGCATAAAAATAAGTGCTTTAAGCTCTTTGAGTGAAGGCTGCCACAGTAAGGCTGTTGAAAAATTATTTAACGGTAGGCACTTTGTTCCTGGCACAAAGCACAAGTGTCGCTTCTCTGCAGAAACGTAGCAGGTACTTGGAACCTGACAGATCAAGTACTAGAGATGGTCTGGCTTACCTTGAGGGCAGTCTGGGGTGTTTGTGCACATCCACTGATCTTGGGCAGTTGGTGGAAGGCGCCAAGCAGGTCTGTCCTGGGTGTTTTCCCTTCCTTGTGCATCTGATTTTAACAAATAGCTGTTTTCACCAACTGGTAAAGTTTCCTGGTCAGGCTTATGGCAAGTGGTGACATCTTATTCATTCTAGAGTTGGGGCTTGTCATCATCCCTGCATTATAGAGAAAGTAGTGTCTTATGAGCCTGAGCAGTTCAGATTTTTTATTGGTGACAGATAGGTCTTTGTGCACAGTGTTTTGTGGTAAGGCACTCCTGCCTTTTCTGTCACATCAGACCATAGTTTGTCCCACTCCTTGTTTGACTGACATGGCAGAGCAGTTTTAGCAAGGCCAGCAGACGTACCACTGCTAGAGCTAAGCCCTGTGAAACTGCTTCCAGTATTCCTAGAGTATTAGAAATAAACTGCTGAGGTCAGTAGTCGACTCACTAGCACAAGCATGTAGTGCTGGAGCAAGCAGAGCCAGGCAGGTTGGCAAGGCATGGCACACTGCACGGGTGCCAGCAGGCACAGGAGATGCACAAGCTGCAACTGGTCTTGCACAGTCTCTGATTCCTACTTGCTGTAAGGATGGGGCAGAGCACTTGGGATTATCCAGAGCCCAGCTCTCACTGAGCTCCGAGCTTCTGCGTGCCATCAGCTCCAGGGAAATGGCCTGGGGAGCAGCAATCCCATTCCCTGCAATTTACTGATGCCCCCTCGACCTCATTCCATGGTGAGAATGGCTGGGCAAAGGAGGAGGGCAAGTTCCAGGTTTTATACCGAGCAGGGCCATACTGAGGTGTGCAGCCTGCAGCTCTGGTAGTAGCTTCCCCTGGATCCCCTGCCCAGAGAGGACAAACGTGCCCTGCAGTGGTGTGCTCAGGGGCCTGTCGGGAAGGTGGAGCTGTGGCAGAGCAGCCAGCACAGCTGAAGCCCTCTGCATAAAGGAGCTGTTTGTTTTGCTGAATTGTTAAAGCCCTATTCACAATAGCAGCCCCCCCTCCTCTCACACTCGAGGAACTGTAGTGGCCACACACTGATCCTTTCTCTTGTCTTGAGGCACTGAATTAGAGTTACTCTTCATCAAGCCCCTCTGACTGGCTGTTGCCTTTTGTCCTTGCTCTGCAGGCATACGAGTGGGCCTTGGAGGGCATGCGGCACCTTGCGTGCATCAGCATGGAGGACTGCAGCTCTGCTGAGCACTGTGCGGGTGTGATCAACTGCCTGGAGAGTTACAAGGGGCAGCACCCAGACATCAGCGATGCCCGGTTCCAGGAGATGAAGGAGCTGGCATGTGAGCTGAAGAGTGACAAGGGACTCAAGCAGTGGAAGTTTGCATGGTCTAAATGCCAGGAGACCAAGCTGGTTTTTGAAAAGAAACTCGAAGCAGCCTTAAGAACAAGGAGGTCTCTGCTGTCAGACCAGAAACCAGCTCTGGGGGAGCAGCCCCAGGCTGGCAGCCTGTCCCACTGGAGGCACTCCGAGGGGGCCACCTCCAGGTCCCACCGGGACAGGACTTGCAGCACACCGCACTGCTACAACAGGCCCAACTGCTCCCCGGGGTGGGCTAAGGAGAAAGTGCCCTTGCCCTCCCTGAGCTTCCCTGATGATGTCAGTGGTGGGGAAGAGCTCGCCTGCCAAGCCGCTCTCAGCCCTGGTCCTCAGAGCAGAGTTTCTTTTGCCAGTGGGGCCTCCAAGTCTCCAAAGCTGCCTGAAGAAAAGCTAAACCTGGAGAGTATATTAGAAACCCCAGAGGTGAAGCCATCCTGCATATCTACTGCAGCCTCTGGGAAGCTGCCTCCCAGGAGGATGCTCCGGAAGGCCCAAAGCTTTGACCTCCCCTGTGGTGAGAGCCTATGGTCGGGCTGCCAGAGGACACTGAGCGAGCCGGCCAGATATGGCAACACTGGTGTCTTTATCAAGGGGCTGGAGGTGAGCAGCACCGAGCTGGTGGACAGGACGTTCGCTCTGCGGCAGCAAGGCACTCACAACTGGCCTGCAGACTGCCTGCTGCAGGAGGGACCGAGGGGCTGCCTCTCAGTGTCAGAAGCCAAGAGCTGGGGCAGGTAAGTGGCCATGATACTCGGTGCTCGGGTTCTCAGGGTGTTGAAAAGGCAGCCATCAAAGATGTGAAGGGCTCTGCAGTGACAGTTACTTTGGGAGTAAGGCAGATAGATGGAGCTGTAGCTCCAGCTACATACTTTGCTGTAAGACTGCAGCATGGCTAAGCTATGGAGACCCCAGGGATGGGGACTGTGCTTGAAAGGGGATCACCAGGCAGGTCTTTCAGCTGCTCTCACTGGAAAAGATTGAAGAAATCTGGAGAGGGGCTTTGGACAAGGGCCTTGTAGGGACAGGACAAGGGGGAATGGCTTTAACCTGACAGAGGGGACACTGAGATGAGATCTTAGGAAGAAATTCTTCCCTGTGAGGGTGCTGAGGCCCTGGCAGAGGGTGCCTAGAGAAGCTGTGGACAAGAGAAGCTGTGGCTGCCCCATCCCTGGCAGTGTTCAAGGCCAGCTTGGACAGGGCTTGGAGCAACCTGGTCTAGTGGAAGGTGTCCCTGCCCATGGCAGGGGGTTGGAACTGGATGAGCTTTAAGGTCCCTTCCAACCCAAACCAGTCTGGGATTCCAGTTCCAGAGAGATGAGAAATGAGTGCAGGGGGACCACAGACCTTCTCCACTGCCACTGCTCTGAATGGGAGGGCTGGGGACATCCCTTTCTGAAAGGGGTCTCTGATACCCTACCATGTGTCATGAAAACTCGTAGCAGGGGATGAATACCAGCAGACAGTAAAATAACTGCTGTGCTTCCCAAGGGAGTGATGCAGCAGTCCTCCTGACCATGGGTACTGTGGCAGTCCCACTTTTGGGTCCTCTGAACAGGCAGAAGAGTTGGCCTAAGGAAGGCTGAGAGGCAGGGAAAGCAGGCACACGTTTGAGTAGCTATGTTTGGTGCTGCACTGCCTCACAGTGGAAACCTCGAGTACCTAAGAGCAATCCTTTTGGAGACGTGCGGAGCAACCCGTGCTAGGAATTGCTGTTTGCTGACCAAGTGATAAAAGATTTGTTTCTCACTCTCATTTATACTAGCAGAAGCCCAGCAGCACCTGTGTCCATGGCTTGTGTTCTCCACCTCATCTCCATGCTGGGTCTCGGGGAGGGCTTCTCTAGGGATAGTCCTATGGTCTGCGGGCCCTGTGACTGCTGTAGCCCTGTTGCAGGCTGGGCCTCTTCATGGTTGAGTGTTTCCTCTTGCAGCAAGCTGCGGCACATCATCGATGAGATGGTAACCACGGAGCGCGAATATGTGAGGTCGCTTTGCTACATCATCGACAGCTACTTCCCTGAGATGGAGCGCCTGGACCTCCCCCAGGACCTGCGTGGGAAGCGCAGCGTCATTTTTGGGAACCTGGAGAAACTCTATGACTTCCACAGCCAGTACTTCCTGCGGGAGCTGGAGAGCTGCTGCAACCACCCACTGCGAGTCAGCCACTGCTTCCTCCGACATGTAAGGCATCAGCACCTCATCCTCAGGGCTGGGTTCCTTGAGACACCTGCGTGGCTCCTCTGCCCAGCAGTGCCTGTACATCTGGCTGCTCACCTGCATGTTAGTGGGTTGTGGCTCTCTTCAGGACCCTTTACTGGGTTGGTTTGTCCATCACCAGCTCAAATGCTAGGCTGGACTGGGATGGCGCTGTGAGGCTGAGCCCAGGCAGCAGCAGATGCTTTTTGTTTCCTGTGGCTCTTCACTACCAAGAGTCAGTGCCAGGGAGGCAAAGCGTCTGCTCCTTAGAGCCCACCTGCTTATGCAAGGGTATCCCTTACCCTGTCTTCTGTCTTTGGTGTCTGTGTGGAGTGATTTCAGTGAGTGGGGAGGTACAGACTTGCTGCTCTTGTTGGAAAGGGCTGCTAGGGAAAAGCACGGGCCACTGGTCTTAAGCTCAGCTGCTTCTTGCATGTTTGCTGCTACCAGGTGAATGGCATCTGTGGGGAATGTAAGGTGCAAGGAGTAACAGGACAATGGATTAAAAAGTCTTAGCTATTGTAGGAGTAGGAAGACAAGAGCATTCCCTGACTCTTAATGAACTTGAAGCAAAGTCAATCCTGAAACAAAGTCACTCCTTATGTCATAGGAGGCTTTGGTGCAGCTTGGGGAGGCAGCACTAGACTAATCAACCCAGGGCATGGCTATGCCTGTGTCCTGGGCAGGTGTTAGTCTCACATGGGGATCTCTTTTGCAGAAAGACCAGTTTGGGATGTACGCATTGTATAGCAAGAACAAGCCAAAGTCGGACTCACTGCTGGCCAGCCATGGGAATATCTTCTTTAAGGTAGATTATACTGCCTGCATCGCAATTGCTTTTTGTGTTTGGGTCCCTGATCCGTTTAAACAAGTCCAACTTCCCTGCTAAAGGCATGCTTAGCACTGCCTCTGCTTTCCTGGCACAGCTCTGCACAAGTGTGCAGGGGGGGACAGGGGCAGAGATATGCAGCAAGTGCTTTGGAAAGGAGCACAGCACTGGTCCTAGGACCTTGCGTTACCCTGCAGAGCAAAGAGAGCACCGCAGTGAGAAGAGCCGTGTCAGTGCCTGCCTGGGGACATGGCGTGCTCCACGGATGCTGCTGCCTTCACTCTGCTGCATTTCTCAGTTCAAGCAGGTGCAGCTTGGGGATAAGATGGACCTGGCCTCCTACCTGCTGAAACCCATCCAGCGGATGAGCAAATATGCCCTGCTCCTGAAAGACCTGATCAAAGAGTGCAGCGAGGCACAAGAGCAGGAGCTGGGATACCTCCGTGCTGCTGAGGAGATGGTGAAGTTTCAGCTCCGGCACGGGAACGACCTCCTGGCCATGGATGCCATCCGTGACTGTGATGTACGTTAGTGTCTTCCCCTGCCAGGGGGGTAAAACCACTCTTTTCCCCCTTATCTAGACTTAAGGTCTGTGGGTCATATGTTGAGCCCCCCCTCAACTTCCTACAGTGAGCAGGATGCCAGAACAGCATAGGAGGACTATTGAGGCACAGGGCAAGGGAACAGCAGGGCTGGAGGTCTCCTTGATCTGTTAGGACAGACAGTGTGGATGCTGTTACTTTTTGCTGGGTGAGCTGCTTGTCACAACATGCTCCTTGGTGCTTACTGGTGAGGTGGAGCAGCCTGGCAGCCCTTGCAGGTGGCATCCTGCAGGCTGCCTTGGGGCTTTCATTTCTTCTGAGGTGGTGATAAGAGGGTCAGGCAGTTTGCAAGAAGGAATTCAAATGGATGCTGATGCCCAGAGTAGGCCAAAATCAACTAGGTGGGACTTGAGGGAGAGGCATGTGAAGTGCAGCACTGGAGGAGGAGAAACTCCAGGGTTCAGGGTGGAATAAGGTGGATCTGGGACAGGAAAAACTGAGGGACTGGCTTCTGACCCAAATGTGCTCCTGGGAGTTTGATAGGACTCGTTTCCTCTTCAGCTCTTTTCTTTCCCCAAAAAGAAAGCCCTGACTGCTGCCTCCAGTTGTCACCCAGAGGTTTGTCACACATTTTCTCAGCATGACAGGAGAGGGTCATCTGTAGGTTAGGCCTAGGAGAAAGGCACAACTCTCCCCCGAGCTCTGAGCCACTTGTTTCAGCCTGATGTGGCCTTCAGCAATGCCACAGAGCCCCACCTTTTCCAGGAGCCCTCCTAAGATGACAGGTAGCTGACACTTCTTTACCGCAGCCACATGGGACCCTGCTATCTGGGGCTGCCCAGACCTGATCCTGTGGGGTCTTACCAGGATGTTCCCTGTGTCCAGGTGAACCTGAAGGAGCAGGGGCAGCTAGTGCGGCAGGATGAGTTCACCATCTGGCTGGGCCGTAGGAAGTGCCAGCGACATGTCTTTCTCTTCGAGGACCTAATCCTGTTCAGCAAGCCCAAGAGGATTGAGGGTGGCTTTGACGTGTACATCTACAAGCGCTCCTTCAAGGTAAGGGCAGCCCTGCGGCTCCCTCTTGTGCAGGAGGTGTCCAAGGCTGATTTCCCCATGGACACATGGCTCTGAAATGGGAAGCAGGAGCGCCTTCAGCAGAAAAGCTGCTGCCACCACTGCTGAGCTTTCTCCAAGCCATGCAGTGAATCCAGAATGGAATACTTCACACTTGAATGCCTGGGCCTGCTCTGTGCTATGAGGTGTGGGTCCAAGGTCTTCTGAGGGGACTGATAATGTAAGGGAAAGGCAGTGTGTGCATGGCAGGGAGGTGGTGCAGACTGAGTGAAGCACTGGGAATTGCCTGGGCTGTCTCTGCTCAGCAGCATCCACATCATACCTACTCCTGTACAGATCCTCAGGCTCCTTCCTGTTCATCTGCTGAACTGAGGGTAGCTCTGGCACAGGGTGTAGGCAGAGTTTACTCTTTCTGCTCCTGGTGGAGCCCCAGTTGATGCTTTGCTCTTCCTTCTGGCAGACAGCAGACATTGGTCTGACAGAGAACTCTGGAGATAGTGGCCTACGCTTTGAGATCTGGTTCCGAAGGCGGAAGTCCAGCGACACCTACATCCTCCAAGCCAGCTCAGCTGAGACTAAGCAGGCCTGGACCAGTGACATTGCCAAGATCCTGTGGCAGCAGGCAGCCCGCAATAAAGGTGTGATTCCTTCCCGGGGCATCTGTGCCGCAAAAGGTGCAGAAGCCCTGTTCAGCTCTTGCTGTCCTGGGTAGGTTTGGAGCATGTTAGCAGGCAGCTCTGTGCAGCAAGCGGGTGTGTGCTGGCTTTCATCCTCAGAAGCATGTGCTGGGCTTAGCTGGGCATGTTCCTTCCCTGCCCCTCATCCCCAGGGAACCTGACCAGTCCAAGCTCTGTGTTGCTGTAGACACCCACCTGGACTCCATGAGAGAAATGGGAGACACTAGCACCAGGTTCCTTGCCCCGTGAGCATGGGTTCTGCTCCTGAAAGGCTTCCTGCTCTCCTTGTGATCTGGGCCACTGCTGGTGGGGCAGCTGCCTCAGCCAAGCTGGCTCAGTCCCTCCTCTCCACCTCAGGCTTCCCACTTGGCAGGACTCTCATAGGCAGCATGGCACTGAGCTCCTGTGCCAGAGTAGGGCATGAATCCTTGTCTGTGGAGGCTCCTCAGGACTGGGCAGCAACGGGAGGACAGATGTGATCTCAATAGTTCAGGAGCAGCCTGGCCCAGGAGTGCTGTGGTCTGGGGCTGCATAGTGCCTTTGGGGAGGGTTGGGTCAGCCTTATTGCGTGGTTGTGGGTCTCTTCCTCCCCAGAAATACGAATGCAGGAGATGGTCTCCATGGGTGTGGGCAACAAGCCATTCCTGGATATCAAACCCAGTGAGGCAGCTATCAATGACCGTGCTATTGACTACATCATGAAAGGCAGAGGTAAGTGCCAACCATGCCTTCCTCCTTGCTCCCTGTGAGCTGAGCAGGACTGGTACTCAGGCTTCTTTGGTATATTTTCTTGCAGGTGCCAGGACCAGAGCATCCATTGCGGTGTCTCTATTTGACCATTCCAACCCCTACAAGAGGACACAGGCACAGCTCTCTGCTGGCAGTACCCCTGCTGTATACAGCCCTTTGTCTTCCTCCCTGCTGGGGCCCCTTAACCTCCACATGTACCTGGACCAGGCTTTGCTGCCTGACGTCCTGGCTCCCAGCCGCCCCTTTGACATCCGCACCTGCATTGAGGAAGATGAGCTGGAGCACGAGACGAGCAGCCAGCCCTCACTGAGTACGTGTGAGCCCAGCACTCCACAGCTCATCCCCACACCTTGCTGTGAGCTGTGTGGTTAGACTAGGCTCCCTTGTGGTCCCTGTCTTGGCCCTGTCCTTCTGTGCCAGCTCTGCCTCAATTTCCAAGTGGGGAATTAGGTTGGGTGCAGGGAATAGTAAAGCACTCTCTAGTCTGCAGCCATGCCTGTATGAGGCTTGGTGGTGATTCTGGGGCTGCTATGGTCTTGGAGACTAGTGCTATGTCTCTGCCCCTTTGGTACAAGGCACTCACCAGCTCTTGCTCTCACCAGCCTAGTCCAGTGAGCCCCTGGCTTCCCCTGTGTGAACTTCCCTGGCCAGTGCCTACCAATCTCCAGCATCACTGGACACACTTCCTTGGCTGATTTTGTGACCTATGGCTTTACAGAGGCCCAGACAGGCTTATCTGTGGGCTTGTGTGGCCAGTGCCTCTGCAGACAAACACGTTATCACGTGTATATAGCACAGTCCTGTAGGCCAAATTCATGGTCATCAGGGTGACCTTCCTCTCTTACCCCAGCAACAGAGAGCTCGGAGTCCTCACACTGCATGTCAGGCAGTGGTTCCAGCGGCTCTGACAGTGGCTGTGTCTCCAGCATCCCACAAGAAAGCTTCTGTGAAGATGTGGGCTTGCCACCCTACATGCCTCTCGGCTCACAGCACACTTCAGCCGTGGCGGAGAAGCCCCGATTCCCCAACAGCCAGTACATTTCTGCAGTAAGTGTGAGCAATCAAAATCCTCTCTTCACTCTGCCTGTTCCTACAACTGCCACCACGGTTCAAGCTACCACATCTCCTGGGGGGACTGAAGATGCTGCTTTTGGTCTAGGGGTCACTGTGGGGAAGTGACAGTGACCATAAAGACTCACCTCTTCTGGGGTGGGTGAGATCCCCTCTGTTGTGGGAGCCTCCTCTGTGGTGTCCAAGATCCCCAGGGAGGTGCACTGGAAGAGACCTGCAGTGCTGGAGGCTGCATGGGGAGGGGATGCTGCACACACAGGAGCTATGGTGCTGTCATGGGCTGGGGTACATGCTTGACCTCCTGGGATGGATGTGGCTCTGCTGCAGATGCTGCTGAGCTCCTTTCCTGGGAGGTTTGGGCCTGATCTGGGGAACAGTGAGATGGAGGAGTGGGAGTCTCTTGCTCTGAGTTGTCAGTGTCTCGTGTTATGTTCCTGAGAGTTCTCAGCCACTTCCCTTCCCACTAGGTCATGTCCTGATGCTGTTGTCTTCTAACCATGTACTAACGCTGGCTTCTCTCCTCTGCAGAAAGCAGGCCAGGTCACCATAAGTCCCTCGACAATAGTGTGAGCCCCTCTGCACACATATACCGCCTAAGGAAGCGGAGTTGTTGTAAGTAGCCCCTGAAGGGGATTTCCCAGCAGCTCTGCATGCTGGTCAGGTTTGTCAGGGGATCCTCACCTTCAGCTTCTCAATGAAAAGTTGTCCACATGCATTCCTGACTGGTCTCTGAGCTCTGATTCATTTGGTCAGAGAAGAGCAGCTCCCATAGAGCTGTCGCCTCAAACAGCCCACCTGTTGCCTCCCTGGTTTGAAGCAGAAGCAAAACAAGCAAAATCCCTTCCAGGTAGTAGAGGCTTGAGCACCACTTTCATCACCGGTGTTCAGATGAGCTGCTTTCCTCTGAATGCTGCCCAGCTGTCTAACCACTAATCTGTTTCTTGTGGCTCTTTGCCAAAATCCTGCTCTTAGTTACTCCCTCTGAACTGCCCTGGAGAACTTGCAGTATTCTCCTCAAGCTGGAGTTTTCCCACAGTTTCCTTTGAAATTCCAAAGGAAACTGCACATCACTAGGTGGAGGAACCTGGGCCAGGATGCCCAAGGGAGTGGCTGATTTCTGGAGGATGCCTTCCCTGCCAGGAAATGGCTGCTGATCTGAGGCGAGAGAGCACTGATGTGGGTGCCAGCCCTTGGAAAGTCTTGTCACGGCCCACTCTCATCATCCAGCTTCTGGCTTAGGTCCTTCCTCTCTGGCCTTAGGGTTGAGCCTCCCTGCTCACAGGGAGCAGAGGGGAATGCACCTAAGGAAGGCAGGATCAGGGCTGGAGTGGCCAAGGCACAGGGCAGTAGGTGACTCATAGGTTTGGCACTGTGGGCTGTGATGACCACACAGGCTCACAGCTCATGATCCATAGGTACAGGAGTTCAAACCAGCTAAACAGAATCAGCCAAGGTTAAAATGTAATACCCTGAGCTGCTGGGGGAGTCACAGATGGGGCTTTAGAAGTGGCTGCTGCCAGGGCTGAGCCTTGGGGTGATCTGCCCTGATGTGCAGATCTCCTCACAGGGGAAGAGCAGTGCTTCTCCTGCAAGGCTTTTCCAGTAAAACAATCCTTCCCCACCCAAACACAGCTCTGACAAACAGTGGTTCTCAAGCGTTTTCCAGGATCACCAGGACAGAGGGACTGTGGGTCCTGCCCCGTGGCAGGAGTGCAGCCGGTCTAACCCATTGCACACTGCTGTGTTCCAGGTTTGATTGCCATTTCAAACTCCCTGAAGATCTCTGACCAGCAGAAGGAGACAGTCTTCACCCATGAAGATACATTTTTCTTACACATAATCACAAAAAGCCCCAAACATGACCCATGGCTGGGGGGAAGTCCCAGAAGGGTTTCTCTCGTCTACGTGTAATAGCTTTGGTGTCAGATGGGGCCTTGGGGATTCAATACATATTTGCCCTATATTTATGAGTAATAGTAACATAGCTGTTTGGAGATTAAAAAAAAAAAAAGTATTGTTTTTAAAGCTATGAGCTGTACAGATTTTGTTACAAGTGACTCTGTTACTATTTGTTCTGTAAGCTGCACATTTTATAAAGTTTTTGGAAGGGCTTGAAGAGAAACTGAGGTATTTAAGTAAAAGTAGTGTAACTTTCTGTTTCAGGGGTATACTGGCTTGGAGCTCAAGATTTAACGTCCTTCGTTATGTTCCAAATATGTCTGTCATAGCAGTAATTTATTTTCTTGGATTAACACTTCTGTTTTAATAAAAGCAATTTCATTGTTATGGTGAATTGTTTCTTCAGATGATTCTTCCAGTGCCTCGGTGCCGACCTTATCTCTGTGGTAACCTCCTGTCAGCTACTCTGCTTTCCCTGTGCCACTTCTGCACTAACCACCTGCTGGCTAAACCATGTCAACCCTGCATGTATTCCTGGGAGAGGAGAGAATTCCCTGATGCCAGCAGGAAGGCGAGGCAGAGCAGGGAGCAGCCAGTAGGGATGTTGGTAGGAGTGTGGAAGAGGGGGGGTGGTCTGAGGTCACCAAACTTCTGGCTCTAATTTAAGCCATTTCCCAGCATGGCTGCTATTTTAGTGCCACATGTCCTCTGTGCGAATAGGTAAGGTCTTGTGGCATGGGGTGCAAGTGACACAGCTCAAATCCCATCATGCCTTGGCCTGGTGATGCGCTGGGTTTTGGGGTGATTGGGCCCGGCCACATCATTTCCACCTCAGCCCCTCTCCACATACTCCAGTCTGTGGACGTGGCTTGTTTGAGGAGCTTGGCATGGTGGGAGCATCCAAGATGAGCAGGTTTGGGTTGTGATTGGTTGATTGTAATGCCAAACCTTTCCTGCATGTTGTTTGAAGTAGCACAGTGTAACAGGAGCCCTGTGCTCCAACATGACCCAGGGGTGAGTGACATCAAAGCTCCCCATGTTCTCAGAGGAAATGAAAATGAGCATTTTTGGAAACCATAGTTGCTGCCAAGCTCCTGTTGGTTTACTCCTAGTTTATGTAGTGCTGTAAGTCAGGCTCATTCAGTGTCTCTTGTGTTCAGCCTGAGGAAGAAGAGGAAGCAGTAACTTATGGCCTGTCTCAGCTGTTAAACCTCACAGGTCACCTTCAAGGTGCAGAGCAGGCTCCTTCCAGCCTGGAATCTCTCTACTGTACATAAACCACTTGTTTGGTTTTAACAAGCTGGATGTTTTTAAACTTTTGGTCTTTTTTTGACAGCAAAGAGAACACGGTTTGAAAGTAAAGACATCATGGTTTGACACCTTGCTACAAAGTTGTGTGGGAACAGTTGCACAGGAAAGATTTTAGAAGTTGCTATTTTAAAGTAATTGCTGTGTTAATGCAAGAGTCTTGGGCTGTCAGGACAGCAGTATCTCATGTCACAGGAGGGAGGAAAACTTCCTAATGCAACAAGAGCAGCATGGAACTTCCTGTATTTCTCAGTTTAAAGGTTTCTGCATTGCTGGAAAAACCATTAGTCACGTTTACCTGACACAATTTCTTCAGGGTTTTATCGATTTGTCTAATAAAGGTTATTTTCTTTATATGATCTCATTTGCATTGTGTGTTGATTTCAGCATGGGCTGCAGTGGAGGAAGGAGGTGGGCTCAGGGCATAGTGGTTGTTGAGCCATCTTGGAATACAAGTCAGGGATTGATAGGAGGTTTTTTGTGCCAGGGTGTTGGGGTGAGACTGATGGGGCCTTGCTGGAACTCATGTGGTTTTCCAGTGTAGTGTGTTAGCCCAGTGCAGTAGCTTCTGCACAGCCCTGCCAGGAGGGAGGTAAACACTGGGCCATGGCTGGAAAACCATCACGAGCATCCAGGCAGAGGATGTCCTGTCTTGCAAGAGCATCATCTTCTGTTAGATAAACCCCACATGCTGCTGATCAAGGTGTGAGAAATAAGACCAAAGGTGGCATCTGCTGCAGAGATTCCTGTCTATACAGAGCTGCTGTTCAGAGTTTTGAGGGCAGCCAAGCAAAAATCATGGAATCCAAGACTGGTTTGGGTTGGAAGGGACCTTAAAGCTCATCCAGTTTCAACCTCCTGCCACAGGCAGGGATACCTTCCACTAGATCAGGTTGGATGGGGCTTGGAGCAACCTCAACTTGAACACTGCTAGGTCTGTAGTTCCCTGACTCTTCCTTTTTTCCATGAGAGAACTGGAAGATGTAGTTGCTAAGCTACTGTCCATCATATTTGAGAAGTCCTGGCAGCCTAGTGAAGTTTTCTGCTGACTGGAGAAAGGGAAATATAACCCCCACTTTCAAAAAGGGGAAAATGGAAGACCCAGAAAACTACAGACCAGTCAGTCTCACCTCTGTGCCTGGCAAGATCATGGAGGACATCCTCCTGGAAAGCATGCTAAGGCACATGGACAATAAGATGGTGATTGGTGACAGCCAGCATGGGTAATGTGTAGCAAATTGTGCCTGACAAATCTGGTGGTCTTCTATGGTGGAACCATGGTGGTGTGGATGAGGGAAGAGTGACTGATGTAATCTGCCTGGACTAGTGCAAAGTGCTTGACACTGTCCCACATCCTTAGGAGACCGATGGCCAAAGCCATCTCAATTTGTGATGACTGATACAACTTAGAGACCTCATAGACAGATGTGTGCATGGAGGGAGCATGCCCTCTTCTCTAATCATCCCTGTCCCTCCATTCCATCCTGCTGCAGTTGGAAGACGTCTCTTTCAGCACTAGAGCAGAGCTACCAGCAGAGGGGGCAGATGGAGCATTTTTCAGCTGCACTACTCATGTTTAGCTGTCCCTGCCATTAAAACCACACAGAAATCTGCAGGGGGTTGCAGTGATCTCCTCGGTAAGAACATTTTCCTTCCTGCTAAAGGTGTGCACACAGTGCACCAGCTTGTGCAGAACCTACAGTACAAGTGTCTGGCATAGCAATCATCAAAATAAAGTCATATGCACTGAAAGATGTATGCACAGAAGCACATCTCTCAATCTCTAAGTCCCAATAATTTATGTTTAGATAGTTTACTTCAGGACTGAAAGGAAAAGTCTTAATTCTTTGGGATAATATTCTTATGCAAAGAAGACAAGTCCCCATGCTTGCTTCCTGTCCAGCCATTTAATAATATAAAAGGAACACACAAATTCACTCTGCTGACTTAAATGCAGCTGGAAAAAATAATTTCCTAGGTCTTAGAAAGTTGAGGAATTACTGAAACATTTGCCCGTCTCCATGGATTAGAAGACTTACAGGAGGGGCCAGCCACAGCTTCTCTGGGCAACCTGTGCCAGGGCCTCAGCACCCTCACAGGGAAGAACTTCTGCCTAAAAACTCATCTCAGTCTCCCCTCTGTCAGGTTAAAGCCATTCCCCTTGTCCTGTCCCTACAGGCCCTTGTCCGAAGCCCCTTTCCAGGTTTCCTGTAGCCCCTTTAGGCACTGGGAGCTGCTCTAAGGTCTCCCTGGAACCTTCTCTTTTCCAGGCTGAACAAGCCCAGCTCTCTCAGCCTGCCTCCAGAGCAGAGGGGCTCCAGCCCTCACGGCTTCTCCATGTCCACAGGCAACAGGCTGAGTGG